AGGTTTTTCTAAAGTGGTTTCCGAACGGCGCAATGTAGCCGCGCCAAATTTTGCATAGCTATAGACAAGTGAATAGCGGATCGTTTGACATAAAAAAATTTAGATGTACCTTGCAAGGTCGCTGATCTATCGCAGGTCAAAGTCAGGCCATAGTTGCAGCGAAGTCAATTTCTAGGGAATCGTTCAATCTGATGCAACAACGGAGTGTTAGACGAAGCGATACATCTCTGAGATGCTTTCTTAGGCAACACAATATTAAATGGGCAAATTACGTTGACCTAAGGTCAGGTATGAAGGTCAGACCAAGGTCAAAACTAATCTATTTCATTGCGGTATGGCTCGCTGTATGGGATAACTTCCGCGGCTCATTTCGAATTTTTTGATAGCAGGAACCACATTATATATAATAAGGCTAATACTTCTGTCTGATCCATGTGAATAATGTCCTTGCTAATGCACTGGACAAATTACGTAAGTTAAAAGCTGGCTGGTGTAGACTTCAGGATGTTGGCTTCCTGAGGCCATTGAGTTTCTTACAATTTATACAATCGAGTTGTTTAATTGACTATTAAGTTATTTCAGATAACTTAATAGTCAATTAATTATTAGGCTTTGTCTAAACTCTTGGTTGTCGCATCAGACTGAACATTTCCACAGAGAATGTGTCTTTGTTCGGATTCACGGCCTGAATCTGGCCTGGTATAGATTGGCCACCGTGCAAGGTACATTAATCCTGTATACCGGAATATCCACTATTCATTTGCCTACAGCTATCCCGAGTTGGCGCGGCTGCGCCTCGCGTTCTTCAAAAATTATTTTATACAAACCTTCGGGGGCTCTCAAGTTGACTCCCACTATCCAAGTGCATGTCAGTGCGTAAATATGTGGGATATTTTGCTTGTATATTTGCATGGAAGGTACGGCTCTTGGTACAGACGATGTCATTTTGGGGACGTCATCGGCTGACGATGTTAATCTCTCTTTGCCTGGTATGACCTTTTATTCAAAACAACCCTTTAAAAACGCCGAGCCTATAGGCTTGAACCTAGAGTGAAGGCCGTAAGGCGGCCCAGACCGCGAAAATAACCTGACACCGGGAGATTGCGACTGTGTGCATTCGATAGCAATGGTATAGGGTTATGTTGACAGTTACAACACACTCGTGAGTTTTTGTTTCGATTTTGTCTCTAGTTGCTCCCTTCCAAAAAACAAAACAAAAAAAAACATATTACTTAATGCTTAAGGACTGGTAGGAGCCATAGTTTTCATAGATATAGTGTTCAATGCAACATTGCCCCGCCCCTCCCTCCCCCCCCCCCCCGGGATGACCGGTGGAATATCCCCCGATCGGGTGTGGGTCTATTTCCAGTATGATTGAGTTTTAGAGAAGCTGAAGGTTGATTTAATTTCCGCGCAGTTTTCCAGTTTGATCAAAAGTATTTTTACCGGGCTGGCGAATGATGGTCATCATTCTTTATACAGTCAGGCTTTCGAATGCACACAGCTGTAATTTTCAGATTTAAATGTATGTGTTTTGCCGGGCCGCCGTATTATGGTCCATTACTCTACGGACAGGCCGGTTGTAGTTAGCACTTCGATTTCTAGTAGAAGTTGAACAAAATTTCATTTCTCCGTAGATGAAAGTAGATTAATGTTTAAGTTATTTCATAGGCTATGATTGCATTTTCGAGGAGCATCATGCATATAGATGAGAGAGTATTTACAGTTTTATTCTTCGTACAATAGTCAGGCGAATAGAGAGACAGGTGCATTGCTTTTTTGGCTACATGCCTTTTTCGAAGCGAATATCAGTAGCGACGACCAATATTCGATCACTAGTATAACCACTGATATTCGTTTCGGTGAAGGCATGTAGTCGCAATATTCACGCATCTATCTTTCCATTCTCCTGGTTATACCGATAAGAAATCAGGCTGCTAAAACTGTATCATCATGCATGAATTTATATACACATTTATGCTAGCGGGCTGACAGTGCAAACACAGTGTTATGTACACACTGGTGGCACGCATCGAGATCGCGCGCACTGCGGTCGATAATAATCATTTTTCCGTTGGCCGCTGTAAATTGCATGTTGTTGCTATTGCCTGCACATCAGTATTAAAGGAAGCATGCGATTTTTTTTGCATTTCTCGCTTATTTTTTGATGAGATGCTTACGAATTTATAACTAATACCAGTTGTTTCAAAGTCCTCTGAAACATGGGCATAATTTTATTCCAAGCAGTCGATACCTGCGTGAAAAGCCCCATTGACTTCCTGCCCACCAATATGAATGTAATACATTTTATTGCCTCAGTTTTTTCGAGCGTGTGGTGTTCTGTCATGTTTGCAACACACTAATTGGTCAAAGTGTTGTGTAATAAGTGCTACAAAAGTTTGAAACACTCTGATTGAGACCAAAAAAATAAGCGTAATCAAACTGTTGTCGCTCAAGTTCAATAAATGCTATGCTGTGACTTTAACAGTGGCTCGTTTCGAGGCGTACTTTGGCTTTGGGAAGCGGACACCACATGGTTCTTAAGGCGCACTAGCCAAACTTCGATCAATCCGCTTCTTGGCAACAGCCCCTCGACCGCTCGCTGGGCTAATCAATAAGCTTTTTTAGCACCAGTGCCACGGCGGTTGCCATGACGCAAGTGGTTCGCGACTGCAGGGAAGAAACGCAGTGCTGTTACAAACGTTGACACACGTAATTTGGAATTAAAAAATGATTATTAAAATTATATTTTCTTATTACGTACTGCGGTGGCACTACCAGTGCTATTAGTAAACGTTATTCGTTCAGAGGTTTCACTATTGTATGTTTCTGAAATATTGCCTCAAAGGTGGGACGCTCCATTTGACACGCGCCCGGGTAGTCGGTTAGTACTAAACGCTTGGGGGGAGGGGAACAATTTGGCCTCACCCCGACCTGAGATCGAAAGGACCAAGGAGGGTGGAAACTCCAAATGTACTGGGCGAGTTGGCCTGCATGTGAAACCCTCGTGTCGATACTTAAGGTTCCTGGACCACGACTGTCGAATCAAGTAAGGTCAAACAACGTCAAACACCAGGCTAAGCTCCCAAGGGCACCTAGACCTCCGCATACAACCGCCTTGAACTTAGATACCTGTTCTAAGCGAAAGGTTGCTGGTGTTCACTTTAGGCCAGAAGTCTTGCGCGGCCATTAGGTCATTGTAACCAAACATGTATAATATTGCTTTGATTTGTGAATTTGATAAGCGTCAAGGATTACGCAATATGCGCCTAGTAAAAGACTGGCCTGCCTAACAAGGACGGAAACGCCTAAAAGGAAGAGAGATGCCATTTTTTCTCAAATTGGTCATTATGGCGCGCTCCCATTGACTTACGTGGCCGAAAATAGGCTTCTTTTGGTCCATCCAACCCTATTTTTCTGTCAGAAAGGCGAGCTTCCATTGCCCCATACTCGAAAAAACGATAGATACAGCTTTGGTGAATACGGTATTTCTCCAAACTGGGTGACTACTATAGAGCTTTGGAGAGTACAAACAGGTTGATGTGCGGATCCACAAAAAAAAAACTCCGGAGACTGCAGGAATGTCACGCCCAAGAGCCTCCCGCAACCTGCGAGGAGCCCCCATTTGGCTAGGTAAACCCTGAATTCTTCCCGCAACTCAAGACCCGTGACTACACCCGTGAACACTGTATCTTCATGCCCGTGATGTTCTGGGGTCAATGGAGCCTGAGGCAGAAGGAAAGCCTGAAAAGTAATCACATTGTAAAATTATCAAGCGTCAGGACATATAACACCGCGCGAGGGACCATACAGATCTGAATTCGGGACACTCTACGCCTCCGCGCAGTCCTGAGACCGCCTATTGGCTGAGCCCACTGGCTAAGCGGGAGATGGGAGCCTTACTGCTTAGACTCCTACCTGCCCCCCCCCCCCCCCCCCCCCCCCCCCAGAAATCATACTCTTCAGCCGGCCGCAATCCATTCGGTGATGAACTGGTAGGTGAAGTTACAATGAAATAGGTATCTCCGGTCGAGCATGATATCACGGGCCAGTCGATTGCCATCCGGAAGTGCTATCAGCTGAGCATCGCTGCACCACCCGCGCATGTTTATAGATGCATTGAACCGGCTGCAGTACTTTCGCCCCCAAACCCGGCCGGCCTCCCACATTCTCTCTTGCTCGCCAGCCAGTCACGCCAATCAAAATGTTGCCTTTGCAGGAGAACCTTGCCGCAGCTTCAGATGATAGCCCTCTCACGGTGCTATCGAATGGGTGTAGTCGCACCCTCCGTTTACGATTACAAACTTTATATAAAACTCTGCCCTGTTTTAACCATAGCGCTCCGGCGGGCCACATGCATTCGAAAATTGCACGGTAATGGGGGTCGTGCTAATACAACAGTTGGCCTTGGCATGCAATATGTTTAGATGTCAGTTCATACCTCTTTTACAGTGCTATGGAATGTGCACGGTTGCACCGTACACACCTATCATTAAAAATGTGGGGTGGGGCTTATGTGTGATAGTTCTCAGCGATGTTCATTTTGCAGCTGATTCCACCGGGCGCGTTTCCCCAGAAATTCACGGCTGGGTGTCACCATGGAACCTTAATCTTGGAGACAAATTCTGCATATTTTGGGGAGGAATGTCGCAGTGCCCGCGTTTGTTGTGGTAGCGTTTGTCACGGATGTTGCCAGACGGGAACTGGTCGATGTGGTTCTTCAGCGCAACCGTGCCAGGTACCGCATTCGTCTTATCAGCTCTTTTTCAGTCTCGCATTCCCGGGGTACCAGCATAACGTTCTTCGCCTCGACGACACGTGTTTTGTTTGGCGTATATTAGCACTGACAAACGCTACGCAAGCCGCGAAAGCACGCATGCTACGTCGTACTCGCCGCTTCCCGGATTAGCCTCACGCCTACGGTTAACTCTTCCCAGACCCACCAGGCCACCAGCACGGTTACCGTGCGGCGGAGTGGGCCGCCGTCGCGCGCAGGTCACGGACAGGTCAGCGGCGCACGCAGGCCATGTCCGCTTGACGCTCAGCCGGCCTGACGGGTGTGCGTCGGCTGATTATCACAGATGGCAGCACCAGGTGTCACAGCATTGCCTAGGTGGCAGCACCTACACGTCGGAAAGGCCTATCATGATGTTGGCCAGGCCGTTGCGCCGCTTTCTCCAGCCCCCGAGGCGTTGTGCGAAGTACTGCAGGTGCCGGAGCCACAGTTCTGTCCGCTCGGCGTCCTCTGCCTGGATGGAGCCAAGAACCGGTCATGAGTAGAGTGAGAACGGACGAGAGTCTGGGATCCAAAGACGACTAAACCGTGCGCTCACTGTAACAGGGGCAAGAAACACAGAAGCGGTCGCGTAGAACAAATTACTAGAAGACGCACCATTGGGAGTGGTGGACAAGGTGAAAATTTTTTGTCAGTGGTCTGGGGTGTCAGCGTGCTGACCAGCATTGCTCAGTTTATCCTGACGTCTTACCTTGACAATGAGTGATTCTTTGGTTGTGTGCTCGTGAATTTCAAAGCAGTCTCGAACCTCCGGATCTGTGCAAATGATGCACTTGTCCAGATTTATCGGGTCCTGAAACACGGTAATCAACTCGTATTGGGTCCAAACTGACAATGGATCACACCGACCTTGAATGCTTGCAAATGCTGCTATGTTATTCTCGTGCACGTTCTCCCACTGTAGCATTGATTCACATCCATTTAGACGTGCAACATGAACATAGACACCCAACTAAACGACTTGCTTCTGTGCTTCTCTGCATTCAGAAGCATCTCGAAGTGGAGCAAAGAAACTGGGGTGGCAGTATCGAGACCCTGGTATACAACAGGCCGCTGCATGTGGAAGTCCCGCCATCTATCGGCGGGCCCTCGTGTGACGACCGTCTGCGTGGGCGGTGGCCTACCCTGGCCAGCGCCATACGTCCGGGCGCTTTGTCCTTGACCAGCAGCAGCGCCGTCTGCCGGAGGCGGCCGGTGCGCGGCAGCAGCGGCCGCTGGCCGCCCAGCTGGGCGCTCCAGTCGGCCGGCGCGCCGCCCAGCGTCACCAGCAGCGCGTGCACGGCCGTCATGCGGACCGAGAACCGGCCGCGCCGCGTCCAGTTGTTCTCCGACGGCAGCGTGTACAGCAGCCGGCCGTCGAGTGCAACGCTGGACTCCTCGGCCGGCCACTCCAGCGTCTCCAGGCCAAACTGTCGGCGGCGCCGCGGCGTCAGTCGGTTTTCCGCGTCGCAGAGCATGGCACGAGGCAGTGTCCGGCGCCAGATCACGCGCGCAGCAGGAATGAGAACAGGCAGAATACCGAACGTCGGCACGAACAGCTTCGTAATGACGACGTGGATGGTAGATGTTTTGCAAGCAAAACATTCAGAGTTGATTTGCACAAGAAACCACATCATCAAATCAATCAATACTGCGATCCCCATCAGGTCCAATCCACACCAACGTAAAAACAGCACGACGTTTCCGCGTCACGGGCACCGAGAGACGGCTGAGCGTCGCATCTCACCCGGGCCGAAGCGCTCCAAACGCGTACCTCGAACACTACGGGTACCTTAACTGCACGTTCCAGAAGACCACGCGGCTACGACACCGTTTGAGCACACTCCTACCCGTAGTGAACCTTTGACGTTCTGGCCAGAGCTCCGGCGAGGCGCCTCGTGTCCGCTAGCTCAGTCTGTGCGGTAACGTCCTGAGCAAGGACGGGCCCGAGCGCCCCCTGTCGCGGTTGCTCACCTTGCGCAGCCGGAGGGTCGTGATGTCCTGCTCGGAGACGCTCCGTTTGATGGGCGTGGCGGCGCCGCCCATCATGGAGATGCGCCTCCAGATGCGAGATCCGCCGCTGTCCTTGGCCGTCTGCCGGCGGACCGGACAGGGGCGGTCACGCACGGCCCGGCCACGTTCCAGCCACGGCACGAGTACGGCGGAACGGCCGGCCGGGGGGGGGGGGGGGGGGGGGGGGGGGCAGGCCGCAAGGCTGTGTAAGATCCGGGACATTGCAAAAACTTTGCATGAACGAATCTCGCGTCAATATCGTTGCATCTTTATGTCAGCAGCGCAGCGTCAAGATTTCTTGTTAACAACTTCTCTTGTGTTATACAAATGCGCGCCGTTCACATTAAGCGGTTCGGTACGCTGCCTGACAGTCACCAGCAGCCACGGACACGCCTGGCAGGCCGGCAGGCCGGGCCGTCGGTCCCGGCCCGGTTGCGGGCTCCACTCCGTGCACTGACCGCGTTCATGTGCTCCAGGTGGAGCTCAATACGCTCCTGGGCGTCGGCCAGCGGTGCGCCACTCTCGTGGCCCACCGGCGTCACGTTCCGCAGGCGCGACAGCAGCAGCGGGTACTTGGTCACCCTCTGGATCGGTACCTGGGGCGTGGTGCCGACGTAAGTTCGCCGCATACCGCTGAAAATCCTGGACCGGCGGGACTTGGGGTACATTCCCACGCGCTCACTAGGTGCCTCCACACCCTCCCATGTAAAACACCCGTCATTTTCCTTAATCCTTGACTCGCTGGAAGCTCAATAGTGGGATTTTCTCACTCAATTACAAAATGTGTTTGGATTACAATTGTAGTTGGGCTTTTTGTAATGATTGGACCATGATAACACACCCAGGACCAAAGATCGCTTCCACCTGTACTCCATTTGCCTTGATGCAAATTAGGCGACATTGGCATTCTTGCAGACTTGAAGACCGGGCAGGTCACCCGGTCATTACCATGAGAAAGGAGCTGAGGTTCATGCGCCGCAAGAGGTTGTTCTCCATCTGGGGAGACCTTCAGGAAGACGCGCAGCAGCTCCTTCTCTTTCTCCAGATTGGCGAGAAGAAGGGATGCAGCGCCCTGCAAACAACACCGACGGTCAGAGCCGAGCGGGTTCTGACCACAAGGTCATGTGAACGCAATCACGAACAGCCAAATGGACTTGAGAAATGTGTCAATACATCCCATTACATGGGTGTGCGAGGGAAAGTGTGTAAAACAACTCCCTGTACCGCAGATATTCCAGCTGGTATGCTACATCGTGAGCATACACCGCCACGTGATGCTGTGACTGGCTTTTACACCAGTCTCTTTTATATATTCCCAATTACATTTGCTTCTTGCCAGTCGTTCCCGTTTTTCGTCTCTAAGTGATTCCCTCATTAAACGGCTCCAGGCTTCTTTCCCGTTGTGGCGGCCCTGATACGGACGCTATCCGCGCTACAAAAGCGTGAGGCGTTGACGGCGTGTGCCCCGTTTTGCAGCCGACCCGTCCATCAGCGAGGTTGTGCGCGGCCCGCGGCCGTCAGACCGACGCTGGTGTGATGGCCGGCCGCACAAAAAGCCCGGCGTCGGAGGCACGGGCGGCACGCGCCGGCGGCTCTGCGGCGCGCCGGCCGCGGCGAGGCGCCGGCCGGCCGGGCTGGCCCCACCGCAACACACCGCATGCGGGGTTGACCCGCTCACTTCCCTCAACCGACCAGGCGGCTGGGCCTGCGGGGGCGCCGTTGGACGGCCCGAGGGTAGCAAGTGGCCGCACCACTCGGGCTAAATCTGCGCTGCGCTATACGGGGTGTGCCGCTCGTGCAAAATCGATGACCGCGTTCGGTCGGCGTGGTTGTAATGGAAGCTTCGCACGCTTTGAATTCTACAGTATCATGTGGACAATTTGCCCGAATGGTTGCAACGATGAACTTTTCTGTGTATTTTCTTCACTTTCATTTACCAGCGTGGTTCTGTTAGCCCCTCCACACGATAGAACGTCAGCGTAGTTTATCAGCAAATTTAGCTTTTTGTAGACTCTTAAATGTCGACATCATGGTTAATGTCTTGGACTATCAAACAAAGCGCACGATCGCTCATAAGAGCCTCTGTAACTTATCCATATGTATGAGAGCAAACAAAGCGCAATCAAAGGTGCAAAAAACGCTTGTGGATTGTGAAGCCCTTTACATCATTCCACTATCATTGTTCACCTGCTTTCACCATTGCGCAAATTCCAAACAGTTGCGGCTGCTTCACCTGGCTGAACCACATACTTGATATTCCTGCCCCTTACTTGGTATCAGTTTTGATAAAATCCATCGCAGACTTTCGCCGCGCACTGTCAGACGAGCCCGCCATCAAGCCTGGCCCGGTAGCTGCTGCCGCTGCGGCTGAGCCGGCATCAAGCCTGGCCCGGTAGCTGCTGCCGCCGCGGCTGAGCCGGCATCAAGCCTGGCCCGGTAGCTGCTGCCGCCGCGGCTGAGCCGGCATCAAGCCTGGCCCGGTAGCTGCTGCCGCCGCCGGCCGGGACCCCGCGGTAGCGCGCTGTACCCAGTCACCACACCCGCGAGGCATTCTCCTTCGCGTGTGATTCGCCGAGAGCACTGTCACGTGACACGTCAGCCGGCGGCGGCGGGGGTACTCGCCTGCTTGGTGCAGTAAGTCTCGAACGCCCTCAGCGTGTTGTCCAGGCCGTCGAGGAAGGCGTCGCCGATGCTGACCGACAGCAGGTCGTCGTCGCCCTGGTTGAGCGCCGCCTCCAGCGCCTCCTTGAGCCGCGCTGTCAGCTGGCGGCTCACCTCCAGCAGCTCCTCCACGTTGAGAAATATCTGAGAGGCGCGGGGGCATGTGCACGTGAAGAAGGAGAACGAGGTGTCGTGGAGCTCTCCAGCAGCAGTGCACTTTGGCTTGATTACGCACTGGAGCGAACGCACGGTTTTGGAATGGGGGAGACCTTTAGCCTCATGCGTATTCATACGTGTAGCAATTTGATAATGGCGTGTCCCCGGTCTCCCGTACTTGATAATGACGTGTCCCCGGTCCCCCGCACTCTTGCATACATCCTTGTTCCCGCTTTATCATTGATATTGGTTTATGTTGTTACCAACGCCTACAGTACAAAACAAAACATGACGTATAGTCCTCATAGCTCCTTATCGCAGTTTCCAGGTGATCGTTTGCATGTGAAGCTGCTGCTATATCGACAATGTCTGGGATGATCAACAATGCCGTTTGCTTTAAACAGGTAGCTGGTCTGAGGGGAGGGGGAGTTATTTGCGGGTCAGGAGGCGGACAATGTGCAAGTAGGCATGGCTAGATACAGATTGTGCCGCGACTGGAACGCCATGGTCACCACCACCACCACCACCTTCCTTTCCAAGAGTGGATATAGCACGACCGCTACATTGATAAGGGCGCCATATAAGGAATTTCCCGCATCAGTTTTGTTTGACTTTTTCTCGGGATCCGTGATGCTGATGGAGCAGCCAGTAGCAGGCTGCACCAGTCGCTTGACGGCTGGATGGCAACCAAGCTGGGAGTGCTGCTGGCCTGTGACAGCTGCTGGCCTGGACTACGCCACAGCTGGCGTGTGGCAACTGCGGATATGTGACCGACTGCAGCGCACCTGTGACAGCTGCTGATCCGCGCCAGTTGCTGACCTGTACTGGATCATAACCTGTGCCTGCAGCTTACTTGTGTCAACTGCTGACTCCTTCACATTTGCTGATCTGTGACGGGCTGAAGCTCACCTGTGACAGCTGCCGACCTGTGACGGGCTGAGGCTCACCTGTGACAGCTGCTCATGCGTCAGCAGGCCGGCCACCAGCATCGGCCGGTAGAACTCCTCCAGCATGACGCGCAGGTCGCGGCCGTACTTGAGCTCCGTCTCCACGATCTCGGTCAGGATCTCCTTGCGCTCCTGACGCTTCTTGTGGCACTTCCTGCACACGGACGGGTCGAACCGCACCCCGCTGCCGGGTCAAGGTCACCGCGTCAGGTCACCGACCCCGGCACCGGCGATGAGCGCGCCGTGACGCCGCGGCCGCTCACTGGTTTCCGTTCGGCACCTCGGGACCGACGATCGCGCCTGCCCGTGCGGCCGCGAGCTGTAATTCAGGCTCATCGCGGCGGCGGCTGATTCGACTTTAACCACGTGTGTAAAAACCGTGGCCGGGGCAGAGGGAGGCCGGCCGACCGGAGATCGATCGGCGCGGTCGGGAGGCCGGTGGTCCGGACAGTGCTGCCGTCCAGACAGCGGTGGCGTCCGGACAAACAGCCGTCCACAGTCTGCACGGCGGCGGCGCGTGGACGACGTTCATCCGCTGCGTTTTGGCAAGAAAGGTTCCCATCGTTTCATGGAGTCATAAAATTATCGAAGTAAGCCACATGCGACCAGTGACCCGAATTGTACCGGTGTTACTTTGCGACACGAGCGTCCACACATGGTCCGGGCGTGACCGAGCCCGACCGCACGGTGACACCGCGTGACACGTGTGACCGCGCCGTGTCACTGCGTCGCCCGACCTGCCGTCCATTAACGCTGAGAGGTAGCGTCTCTACGTAACGGGAGTATAGACGGGCTGCTGCAGGCTTGGCTACGCAAGCAGCGCCGCCTAAGGCCGGCCGGCCGTGGCGACGTCTCGCCGGACGGCGACGCGACGCCTTCATTCGCCCGCCATTATCCTAATTGGTTCAGCGAGCAGCTGGTGTCCGGCGCAAAAAGGTGCGGCGGTTCCCACGGCCCGGGGTTAATAGCGCCGGCCGCGCGGACAGAGGTCAGGCCGGACCCGGCGTCCGCCGCCGGCGCCCGACCCGGTGCCAGGGAGCAGGGCCGATTAACACCTCTGGGACTCCCGGCCGGTGAGCGGAGGCCTCTCGATAACGGACCCTGACGAACTCTGACGGCAGGGCGATCTGGTCCAAGCCACGGCCGGTGGACATGACGGGCAGCAGCGACTGTCATTACACGACCGTTGCTTAGATGGCATGTTTGACGACCTCCTAAATCACCAGACATACGATCACGGCGTGAGCGGTCAGAGCGAGGCTAATTCGCCACCCGCTTTGCACTGGATCCTCTGCGCCGGCACTCACCTGTCGGTGACCTGGGTCTGTACGGGCTGGCGGCAGTCGTCGCAGTCGTGGGCGCCGAGCTGGCCCGACCGCACCGGCGCCTTGCTCGTCTCCGAGCCGACGCCCGAGTCTGTCCGCTCCACCTCCGCCGACAGACAGCGGCCGCCCTGTCCGCACACACCGCCCGTCAGCGTCGGCCGGACAGGGGCGGCACTGTCCCGCCGCCGCCGCCACCGCCGCTATCGGGTCGACCGCGCTAATGGCGGGCCCGGTCTGCGGACTGACCTCGCCGAGGTCGCGCTTAGGAGCGGCGGTCGATTAGTGGGACATTGTGCGCGCTGACAGCTGGCGGAGCGGCCGATCGCCGCTCGGCGATGCGGGACGGGCGGGGCGGCGGCGCCGGCGCGACCTTACTGGATATCGGTCAGAAGTGGCGCAGCGTGATGACCTCAGCGGTCAGAACTGGCGGGCTGGACTGGGCTGATTTAATCTGGTAGGCCGAGCGGGAAGACCCGCCAAGTATAAAAAGCGTGAGTTAACGCGCCTTTTCTCCGCGACGCCATACGCATCGCGTTAAACTCCGCGGCATGTCAGGAGAGCATGTTCCCTATTTTCCCTTACGGTGGAACCCACAAGCTAAGTTGGTAGCTACGCTGGTGAGGGAAGCCAACAGCAGCCAGGCAGACCGGCGGCTAACACGTCGGGGATGTCGGTCCCGCGCGGAGGAAGTCAGGGCGGTCGTCTGGGCTCGGCCGGCGCCCCGTGCGGTCCGCTCGGAAGAGGGGCGGGGCGCGGCGCGCGGCCGGACGGGTGGTATAATGACGGGCGGGCCCAGCTCGGGCCAGCTGAGGCGACCGCCCCACTGCCCGCTCTTCCGGGGGACGCTTCAAACCGGACAGGGTGGCCCTCGCACTCAGCTCGGCGGCCATGGCCCTACTTGGATCA